AAGGTCTTGACCTCATCCGATCCTGCTGAGAAGACCAAAAAGCTTAGCGCCGAGCTGGCCAATGGCCGCCTTGCGATGATGGCGATCATCGGAATGTTCTTCCAGGCTTTGTTTTGCTTGCAAAGACACAGGATGCACCATGATGCAAACAGGAAAGACACAACATGAAGCTGAGTCTGTAAGATAGTTTATGACAGATATTACATTCCAATTCGTACTGTAGGATGGCTTGACTGGCAGCGCTTGGGGAGACTGGGCCAACTACACTGCTTCTCCGCTGCGTGCGTTCGAGAACGAGCTGGGTGCGCAGGAGGGGTACTAAATTTGTTTAGTTTGCTTTGTTTTTTGCTGTAATGTATCTTTATGTTAGCAGGTAGTCAGATCATGCCAAGTCTTTGGCCTCATTGGCCTTGCTAGATGTGCATGAGAGGCACCTCTGGGGTTCTGGGATCCTTTGGGGCTTTCCTCTGATGGCAACTTGTACTCCTTCAAGCGACGACGCTCTGTCGAGCTCAAGCACGGCCGCATTTGCATGCTGGCAATTTGGCCGAAGATGAATTTGTTATGTTTGTTCAGTTTTGAGGGACACTTTGAACTGGTTTCGGTGCTTTCCGAGTTTCAAGCTCCAAGGCAACAATGGGCTACATCACTCCCGAGGTTTCGTCGGCAAACAGTTGTTATTTCCTGAATGTGCTGTGTTGGCTGTGGTGTAAGAGTTTGCTTTTTGACAGAAGAGGTAGCTGGCAAGTTCCCGGGCTACTTGTCTACTTCCCAGAAGCTGCTCTTCTCGGACATTCCCAATGGACTTGCGGCAATCTCCAAGGCATTCCGCGTTTGTTGTGCGGTAGAGAAGACTTCCAAACTTTGGAACATAGTTGTCTACTCAGACATACTGAAATGCTCACATGCTTAGCTGTGTCTTGCAGGTGCCTTTGGCAGGCTGGATTCAGATCTTTGGCTACTGCGCCTACTGCGAGATCTCTGCCGGCTATGATGCGGACATCACCAAGCGCACCCCTGGTGACATGGGATGGAACCCACCTCTCTTCTCTGGAAACAATCCTGACACCAAGACACGCCGATTGAACGCAGAGCTTGCGAACGGACGCCTGGCAATGATGGCCACCATGGGCATGTTCTTTCAGGCACGGCTTTTTCGAAGAGCGGATCATTTTTTGCTTGGTGAACCGGTTCCGTCAGAGGGCAGCACTTGTTTCCAAGTGTGCTTGTTCGATGCTGTTGGGACAGGATGGCTTGACCGGAAGCGCCTGGGGTGACTGGGCCAACTACACTGACTCACCTTTGCGTGCATTCGAGAACGAGCTGGGTGTTCAGGAGCCAGTGGGATTTTGG